AACTTCTAAATAGGCCAAAGACAACAAAAATAATAACAGAACAAGATTTCATCAAGTTCTTTGAAACTAGTAAAGGGAAAAACTGGACTTCAGACTAATGTCTGTCTAAGAGAGATGTGTGAGCTATTTCTGCAATTCTCCATGCATTGGGAATGACTTCTTAAATTCTATAATCAAATCTATGAAATATCACTTAGTAACATATGATATCAGTAATACACTAAAGGAATGGGGTATCCTATTTCTGAATTCACTTATTCTTTTTCAACCTGACTTGAGCAATAACAATATTAATTAATAAACTTGGTGGCTCTATTACATGGTGGAATAGTAACTCTGTCACCAGATGTCAATTAACATTTTTATTAGGCAGTGGTTCCTGGATTGAAGAAGAAATATACAGATTAATACTGTCCACAAATCCTGGGATAAAAATGGAAGTATATTATCTACTCACTGGCCAGCAAAATATATTAGATTAAAAGAATGAATGAGAAGCTTCCCTGCAGGCTCAATGAAAGATGGATTTAGTGGACTAAGCTAGTGAGAATTGAGCTTCCTCATATAGACATATATTACAGAATAATATTTTTGTTTTGCTCTGTCTTCTTTTTACTATTATTTTTAACCTTAGTGGTGACCCAACATTTTTGCTGCTGTCGCCGGGCAAAAAACAAACAACATAAAATAGATGTCATACCAATAGATATAAAACTAGGAGAAAAGAAGAGGGAATAAATGGAGCCAGTTATGGAAAAGGTGTTAAGAAACCACATCCTCTGTAGGAGGCACTGAGAGCCTGTATGACCTGGGACGGGCCCACCAATTACACGTGGCAAAACCATTCCTTTAGAAGACCCAGGGTTGTGGAATCTCCTGCTTGTGTTTTTCTTATAAAGGACTGAATTTTCTCTTTGCAAAAAGAGTCCACTACCAAGATTACTGTGCCATTAAAACTCAAAAGACTTTCATGGATCTTGGTATTATACTGTAATATTTTATCTTACTAAAGAATTGTATAATGAAATTAACTCAGTTTATCTCCCTCTGAAATACTTTCTTGTAGACTAGTAATTTATTATCAGATAAAACTGAGCCAAACACTGTTTGCCAGTTCATACAATCCCAGATAGTCTTGTCTCAGCTCTTCAAGCTGGTATCACACTACTTTCCTGATCATTTCCTTCCCCTCAGTCAAACTGATCAACTTTCACCTTCTTCCACTATAGGACCTTTGCATATAATATTGTCTCTGAGTGGATGTTTCCTTTCACCATGTTTTTGTTTGTCTCTCTCCCTCACTACCAGGCACCTCCTTGGAGTTAGCTTTGCTCTAAATTGTCAGCTTTTAATAAAATCATCTCACTAATAACCAGTGTCTATTACACAGCCCTGTATTCGTCTCTCCTTCCTTCTTGAAACTATTGCTAAGTATTGTGAGATAACCTGTTTGCCTCTTAAAATAGCAAAGACTGCTGCAACAGTTCTTATGTGTCTACCAGTTTCTGTGAATGCATTTATAGTTACTAAAACCTTGATATCTGTTAAGCCATCATGGAATAGATAATTAATTAACACTCCTTCTCAGGGCAAGAAATTGAGATGTATTGAAATTACTTCATTTATAAAAGCCTTCATAGCTAGTAAGTAAAAGGACCAGAATTTGAACACAAGAAGTCTTGATCTGAAATTTATGCTAATTGCAATCCTATATTCTTCCTATTTCAATATATTACATATGTTTTACATTTTAAAATAAAAATTCAGGGTCTGGTGATTTAGCTCAGCGGTTCAGTAGCCTGCCTTGCAAGTGCAAGGACCCGAGCTCAATCCCTGGTACCAAAAATAAATAAATAAATAAATAAATAAAATAAAATAGAAATTCAGAAACTACTGTACTTTTGTGCATCTTATGCACTCAGTCATTCACAAATTTGGGTTTTATAACCTATATGTATTAACCAAGATACACCTAACATAGGACTGACTTTATAGTAGGTGCAATTTTGTTAACATTAACATTCATAAGTCAGAGATCTAAGGCAAGGTACAAAAAGAACAGAATTTACTGAAGAGCATCAAATGACTATAAATCTACTCACAAATATTCAGCCTTACTACTCATCAATAAAATAAGATAGCATTTTCTAACTCTCTAATTAAGAAGGATTAAAAAATAAATAATACTCATTGTTGGCAGGAGTACAGGGAAAGGACTTTGTCAGACAATAGTGGTAGAAGGAAAAAGTGTGTACAGCCCTCATGCAATGCAACTTTGACAATATATATCCAAGAACTGCAAGTTTACTTTGGCCTTTGATCAGAAAAATTCCACTTCTAGTAAATTAATTTAAAAAACGGAAAGACTTAGACTAAGATTGGGTTGAGGAATTTTCATTGTGTATAAGCAAATTTAAATGACAGACAGGTAAGTATCCAACCCCATTAATGGGGCACTTGGTGTGTGTTGAGACCACAGAGAGGTTCTGAAAGTGGGATGATGGAAGAGGGAAGGGAGGGTGTGGCCCTTCCTTGCTGCAGAGCAGTGTATAGCGGGATCCCCTAAGAAGATACTGTTGAGGGACTGGGGATTTAGCTCAGTGGTTCTGCCACCTACCTCACAAGCACAAGGACCCAAGTTCAATCCCTGGAACAAAAAAAATTAAAGAAAGAAGGTACTGTTGAATTAACTATGTGGAATGTTAATTGACTTTCATTTTTACATTATATGGAGGACACACAGGAGCTTGTGTTTTGGAGAATAGTTAAATAACAGTGGTCTAGTGATCTATGAAATAGATTAAGAGTGGAGCTAGGTAGCAAGTAACATAATTTTGCAAAGTGTGAAAAATAAGAGATACACATACATAAACAAATATATGGAGCTAGGAATGAAAGAAAATTATCAAAATAGTAACAATAACTTCCAAGTGGATCCCATCCCTTTAATATGGTAGAAGCATAATCTCTTCCTAAGACTCCCCAAGATGCTTGCCTCTCTGCCAGGTAGGTCATCTCAGATCACAGCTTCCCCAGCAGTCTCCGCTTTTGTGATTATCACCTTCTCACATCCGTTTAGTTTGCTCACTCTTCTCCGCTACTCTACTACGAACCCCTGGAGAGCACAGAAGCAGCAGAGTCATATACGGTACCTCGAGTTTGTAGCATTGGGTTAATTAGTAATTAATGATACGTAAATATAGAAAACTGAATCCAAGAATACTCTGTTAACTAATACAAAGATGACACACAATTGAAAAAGAGGAAGCTATACATAATGGAAAAGAATTTAGAGTCTGGAATCTGCCACAACTGGGTCAAATACCTGCCCTCACCTCTTTATCTCTGTGACCTTGGGTAACTTGGTGAGATCCTCTGAGTCTTAACTTCCTTTTATCCAAATTGATTCTGGAATGGTTGTGAGAATATTGCAAGATAACAGGAGTAAGTTGCTTGGGGCATAGCAAGCACTTAAAGCATTCTAGTAGAATATTTTCCAGTTTATATTCAGCTGAAGGAATGGCTTCTTGGACTTTTTCACTACCCCTGTCTTTCATTTTTAAGTGTTAAATTGACTCATTGATACTTATTTGACTGATTTTAAGGATGTATCTCTGAAAGCTTGAATTTCAGAATGACTTTTAAAATTAAAAATAGCAAACCATTTCAGAAAGATGGTGTTTGTGTATTTGTCACAGAGATTTCATTTGTTCATATCTGAGTTTTACTGTCAAATAATATTCTCCTGGAATGGAACCTTTCCATTTACAGCTGAAAAAATAGATAAAGATAGAAAAAGAATTGAGAGAATTTAATTTTAAAAAAACATACTCTAGGTGCCATGCTGTGCATCTTACCTACAGTTTCCTAATGCATTATCTTTCATTTTTTGTTGTACAAAAGAAAATTTTGGAAAATTGAAGAGGTTTAGGGGCATTGCCAAAGTTCTAGATTAGTCAACATAAGAAGCTTCATTCAAATTCAGGTCTGTCTGTGTTCACAATCAATGCTGAGAGAGGCAGGGTGAGCGGACACCTCTGCCTCTTACCGTAGCCTCATGTTGGCCTTTATGTAACTTTGCAGCAGAGAAAATAATAGTCTGTGACTCCTCTCTCTGCCCATCTGCTGACTATCGTGTGTGGAGACATCCCGTTCATCTGTAAACCATTGTGAAGCCATGTCTTTAATGAGATGCTGGGAACAAACAGAAAATGTGCTCTCTCTGGAGGCTCTGCTACAAGCTGCCTAATTGGGATTTATGAGTGGCCCTGATAAAATTTCTGCATAACAAAATCCGGAGTTTTCTCTTCAGCTTCTAAATAATGCCCAAACAAAACATGAAGGACTGAAAAGATAGAACAAATATTCTTCCACTTTGCCAGTGTATGGGGTGTGGGTAGATATGAACGTGTGTTGGGGAAGAGGAAGACTGCGTACACTAATTGGACTAACATGGTCATCTGTGGCTGCAAGTAATGTCTGCTCTTGGCTAATTCAGACCTAAAGTGGACTAAGTTCAAGCCTTTTATCCAGTATCATTTCAGACACATTCACCTTGCACATGGAGCTGGCTGCTTTGTCTCCATGAGTACCATCTTCACTTCATGAGCTCAGCACAAAAGGAGCAAACCCAGTTGAATGCCATCAGTCCCTCCACTTTGCTGAGAGTGTTGCATAATAATAATGATAATAACTAAACCAATGACAGCAAACAGCAGAAACTCATCATCTTTGCCTAGCGCTAACTAGGTATGAAAAAGCCTTGCATTAATTAAATCTGTATGGTTCAGCCACATAGAAAAGTGGCTCAAATTGATGTCATTTTGTAGCTAAGATAAAGAATGCTCAGAAAGTTGAATCAACTTTCCCCAAAATAGACCTCATGTTTGGCAGAGCAGGATACAGAAGGATGCACTTGTTTTCTGAAGAAAGGGTTTCACCATGACTTAAGAATTCTAACCACATGCAAGTACTAAAATGTTCATTTTCATTATATATAGATAGAAACAGCATAAAATGGTAAAAAGAGAATCTAGAAGGATTCACAGAAGAGAAAGCATTTAAGGTTGGCTTTGACTGACAAGAAGCTCATGGCATGATGGCGTGGGAGACAGAGCAAGTGATGACCAAAGGTAAGAATGTGCTTCATGCTTGTGGAAAATTCTGGATTGTTAGAGTTTCCATTTATGATACACCCTCTCAAATCACCCTTTCTCAGCTCTCAATACTATAATCATCTCCTTGGTCACTCACACCAAATCCCTACTAGTCACATTTGGGTTTTTTTTTTTTTATGTTTTTGTTTTTTGTTTTTTGTTTTCTTTGAGACAGGGTCACACTACATAGTTGAGACTGACCTGGAGCTCACTATGTAGCCCAGGCTGGTCTCGAACTCACAGGGATCATCCTTCCTCAGCCTCCCAAGTGCTGGGATCACAGGCATGCGCCACCACGCCCGGCTCCTATGAGTCACTTTTAATTTCTCTTTTATGTAGCCATCCACCACTAGTACCTTTGCCAATCAAGACCATTTGTGACATGCAAGGTTATACAATTTCCTACCTTATCTTCTATCCTCTGCTTTGCCACCTGGATTCACAGTTCATCCTCCACAGGATTTTGAATTTAGCTTTCTAGCAAGAATACAGGACCACTTTACTAGGCCCTCTAGTGCAGTTGGTGGTTTTCCAAAACTTTTGTTCATTGTAGGCATAACAACAACATTAATGGCATATTCCAAAAGTAGTCATTGAATTTAGAATATTAAAAATAGGAATATCGAAGCTGACATTTTATAATATCCAGGATTTCTTTCACAGGGATAGAAGAAGTGGGCAGAGATACAAATAAACAAAATCAGTGGTGAGAAGCACAGTGATTACACTAACATAGGATGTCTTCGTTAATTTTCTCACTGCTGAGACAAAATACCTGACACCCAATATTAAAGGAAGAAAGGTTCATGTCACTCACAGTTTGTGGAGGGCTCAGTCTATAATTGGCTGCCTTCCAAGGAGAATGGTACATGGCAGAGGGGCACTGCAGAGGAGAAACAATTTCCAGCATCCGGAAGGTAGCAAAGCAACAAGGGACGTGAACAACATCTTTCTACCCATTTTATCTTATCCAGACTGCTTAGGGGAGGTAGCACTTACACTTTTTATCTTAATGCCCTGGAGCCTAGAATTGAACCATGCATCAACTCCAGCATCACACACCCTAGATCCATCCGCCTCTGAAAAAGCCCGCCTGTGACTGAATGAAGCTTTGGGGGGACATCTAGACCCAAGCCATAACACAGGATTAATTTATTGCACTGTTTTATCAACTTGATTCTGAAATTATTCTATTTTAAAAGAAAAAGCTTCTGGAAATTCATTGAAACAATAATAAAATACACATGCCTAACCAGGATCTACAAAGCCTAAATTCTAACCAAACCTCCAAAGCCCTGTGTGATTTCTCGGACTTATTCATGCGCCCTTCTTTTCACATTGTTTACTCTGCTCCAGATCCACTGACCTGGCCTTTGAAAATGTCAGGTGCCTCGTGTCTCCAGTTCTTCGAACTTGCTTCTGATGGAAGCTTTCTTTCTCTTAGCCTCGAGGTGCCCATGTCCTCTCAAATGAGGTTTCGCCTCAGCACAGCCTCCTTGAGGAGACCTAATCTCTTCAGATACACATGCCCTCCCCTCCCTGAACTCTGCCCTGTGCGTTCTTGTTTTATCTTCTGTAGCACTGTAGGTTGTTTACTTATTTCTTTACGTACTGTAACGTTTGATATGTGAGATTACGACAAGATTCCCTTAAAAACAGAACTAGCGCCTCCTGGTAATTCAAAATGTACATGTTGACAATTTACAGCTTCTTGTCAGTGGAGGCCCAAATGCAGCAAAGCCCAGTATTGCAACCTGAACGCTGCCTTCAAAACGACTGGGCAGTCTCAGTGGCAGTAGGAGTGAGGAACGCCAAAAGTCCTTGCCACGCATGGGGTGATGTCCTGACCAATGACAAATTCTTGAAACTTACCTTGGGAAGTCATATTATTTTTTAGTGGTGTTATAACAGACAACAAAGTTAGTGGGGTAAATCTGCACGCATTTATTACCCGTAGTGCTACAGGTCAGAAGTCTAGGTAGTCCCAGTTATGTCTTCATAATTGTCTCACCAGGCCAAGGTCAAAGAATTGGCTAAGCTGGGCTCTTAGGAGCTCTGGAGAAGAGTTCATTTCCAAGTTCCTGCAGGTTATTTACTGGATTCAATTATTTGTGTTTGTAAAACCGGAGTCTGTGTTTTCTTTAGTGCCATCAGCCGCAGCTTACCTTTGCTCGTGCATGCATCTCACAATCATTCTGATGCTTTCTAAGAGGCCAGCTCCAGCAACAGAGGGTCAAGTGCCACTCGTGCTCTGAGGCTTTTGACATTTTCTGCCAGATCCTCTAACTCCAGCTGGAGAAATCTTCTCACTCCTCTACTTCCGAAGACTTATCTAATTACATTAGGGCCACCTGGATCATCTGGTTCCTCTCATTATTTTAAAGCTTGCAATCTTCATTGTATCCAAAAAGACCTTCACACTATTTAATGTAACACAGTTACAGGTTCCAGGGACCAAGAGGTGGAAACTTTTGTGAAGCCGTTCTGCTTACCACAGGTATCATTCATTGTTTTTTAAAAATACAAATTGCATTACCTAAATCTCTTTAAATAACGATTTCTTTCTCTGTGGCTTTCTTCGAGCAGCAGGCTTCTTTCTCCACTAGGACGTATGGTAGAGATGCCTGCAGGGCCTCTGCTGGGAACGACATTGTAAGCCAGCAGCTGCGTGCCAGTCCAAGTGGTGCTGTTCCTCAGCTCCACGCAGATAGAGCAGAGTGGAAGAGAGTCTGTCTGCTTCCACGAGTGGTGGGTCTCAGCTGTGTCCCCATTTCTGGGAGAATTTATGAGAGGAGCACATGCTAGCGGGGCGTGGAGAGCTTCTCTCCCAGAAGCAGATGCTGCTGATCCAGACACTAAAGCGACCTCTCTCCAGCTCTCCCAGGTACTGCTGCCAGATGGCCACAGTTGAATCCACAGCTGAATAGATGTCTGCTACTGGCACCAAATATGCCTCTGTGGGACTGGTTAAGGACCCGAGGAGGTACGGCAAGGCATCAAATAGATCTGAACAATAGAAACGCTTGGGGGGGTATCAGGCACTGTGTTAAGCACTTTGCAGGCATTAACTCACTCTCATGTGCACGGTGAGCTCATCTTATACTGGGGAACACCAAGGAATAGAAAGGTCAAGCAGCTTACCAAAGGTCATGGAACCAGAAGCAGGCCGAGCTGAATTTTGAATGGAGGCAGATCTTACTCTGGTCTCTGTGATCTTCCATGCTTTACTAGCTAACTCTGATATCAAGAAGTTTTCAGCCCTCTTTTCTCTTCCTCATGCTCCATGGCATCGGCCCCTGGATGCCCAAACCCGAGCAGCTGCCATCTGATGAACACCCTTTGTTTGTAAGTCAGTGGCCCAGAACCAGAACATTACCCCAACCCGCAGAACCGCACCCAGAGCTGGTGAGTAGAAAATTGAAGTTGGAGTCAGAAAGGGTACCAAGGTAGCCAAGAGAAGGGTGGAGAATTGAAGCCAGGCATAGGAATGAAGTCAAAAGGTAGATGCAAAATGGGGGAAAGAAGCATCAGACCGAAGACGCGTCTTGGGAAGATGGAGTATGCAGTGTGAATGTGTGGAACGGCATAGGCATCCTCATCCTGCGCAGGCACTGAGTGCTTAACATGCATCGTGATCCAAATCATGCCCACTATGCAGATGCTCTCATTGAACCCTAACATCTTGTCTATGAGGAAAGTTGTTACCCACGGTTTATAGATGAAATAACTTAAGATGGAACGACTTAAGCGAGGTAACCTGTTCCAGATATCAAGGCAGGTAAAAGGTAGTTCTGATGTTTATGCCGAGGCAGTTGGCATGACAAGTTGACTTATTCAGCCTTGTATTTTCTGTTCCAAATGTCACCGTTACTTCTGTGGGTATTGGCTTGCCTTGGAGGAGAAACACGGCCTGTCTTCGCACCACACTGAAAGTAGCATGAGTCAGATGGCTTTTATGGAATGGTGCCAACAGTTTAAGAGGTAGGTATTCCATGTAATCTAACAAACAAAATTGCACTAATAACTGATGATTGAATGAATGGATTGAATCAGGCAATAGTAAAAGGAGACAGAAGATTTATTTTTAAGTTTTCATGTGATAAAAACAAATCTATGGTAAGTGACCTGAACATAATAGAGGGGTAATGGTGAGATACATCTTGAGCATATATTGCTAAGACAAGTCTGGGGTACTCTTAGAGTCATTATGAAATATGGCAGCAAACTGGGTCACTTCTTACTTGCTATAATTCCAGTGTAATCATGGGGAGGTACCAACCCTGGCTGATCTTACGACCATAGATGTAGATATATGACTGTCCATACAGAGTGGACACTGAATTTATAGCAATAATGGCAAATGGAGAGTAAATATATAGGATTTCTTACATGAAAATGTGAGATAATGCGTAGTCATTTAATGTATGTGTGCTTGATATGAAGGAAGCAGTATATATAAAATTTGAACAAATATCTCCAAGGGAACATAGTAGGGATTAAAACTTGGTTTTTCCTTTTCCTTGTGCAGTTTTATGGCTAATTTGGAAATTGAAGGGCATTAAACAACCTTCTCCCTCCTCACAGATATGTGCTTCACAGACATGAAGTCACAACTGGGGTGGACCTTTCTGCTCAACAGTGCCAGAACCTTGAAGACTGGGGACCAGACTGGTTTCCAAGTTTCCTCATTCCTCTTCCTGGCCGTGAATGCCGGCTGTAGGCCAAGACTGTGGAGAAGGGTGCACAGGCTGATGCCTTTTGTGACCTGGGCTTCTTTAGAATATGAGGCTTTCATCCTATGGGCAAGCAGCCTCTGAGGGAGACACATGGTAAAAGGTGACTTCAGAGTCACATTCCTATGTTCTGTTGGTCAGAGCAACAATTTCTCCCTCAGTTTCAAGGGAAAGAATAGCTGTCTCCACCCCCTGGTGGGGAAGAGGGAGGCTCTGGAAAAATACACCCTCTGACATGCAAACCCCTTGGGCGCCATCAATTTGATTTGCTCTGTGAAGTAGCTGGGAAAAGAACTTTAAAAAATAATCTTGTTTCTGTATTCCAACATATATATATATATATATAATTTTAACACAAAAATTTCTGAAATTCTAAACAGATCGGGTTAGGAATATATATTTTTGGTTTTCCATTCCAATGGCATATGCATGCCTAACTTTA